AAAAGAAGAAGATGGTGGTGGTGGTAGTGGTGGTGATGGTGGAGAAAAAGAAAGAAAGAAAGATACCAGCACCCGACTAACAGAGGAGGAGTTCTTGAGGAGGAAAATGGAGGAGGAGAAGGTGGTGGAGAAAAAGGAAGAAGGGAAACAAATAATGCAGAAGGAAGAGGTGCTGGAGAAGGAGGAGGAGGGTGATGAAAGAGGCGAAGGTGGTGATGTGATGAAAGAGGCGAAGGTGGTGGTGGAGATAAAGAAAAGTAAGAACGATACCAGCACCCGACTGTCAGAGAAGGAGTTCTGGAGATGGAAAATTAAGAAGGATGAGGAAGAAAAGAGCTTGCATGAACGCGTCGCCAGAAGGCTATCAGTGGCAAAGTTTCTGATTGAGCAAATAAAGGAGGAGGAGGAGGACAAGATGAAAGCTGAGGAGGAGAAAAATGAGGAGGACATAAAATACATTGAAACGGAGGAGGAGGAGGAGGAGAAAGAGAAAGTGAAGAAAAAGAGAAGGAGAAGGCGGCCAAGAAAAAACTGCAAGGTGGAAGAAGAGGAGGAGATGGAAGGAAAGGAAAGTGAGGAGGTGGAGAATCACATTGAGGAGAAAGAGCAAATGAATGACATTGAAAAGGAGGAGGAGGAGGTGAAGGTGGTCAAGAAAAGGAAAAGGAGGCAGCAGCCAAGAAAAAACTGCATGTTAGAAGAAGTGGAGGAGATGGAAGGAAAGGAAAGTGAGGAGGTGGAGAATCACATTGAGGAGAAAGAGACAATACATGACATTGAAAAGGAGGAGGAGGAGGAGGTGAAGAAAAGGAGAATGAGGAGGCGGCCAAGAAAAAACTGCATGTTGGAAGAAGAGGAGGAGATGAAGGAAAGAAAAGCGAGGAGGTGGAGAATCACATTGAGGAGAAAGAGCAAATCAATGACATTAAAAAGGAGGAGGAGGAGGTGGTGAAGGTGAAGAAAAGGAGGAGGAGGCGGCCAAGAAAAAAACTGCATGTTAGCAGAAGTGGAGGAGATGGAAGGAAAGAAAAGTGAGGAGGTTGAGGAGCACATGGAGGAGAAAGAGACAATAAATGACATTGAAAGGGAAGACAAGGAGGAGGTGTTGAAGAAAAAGTAACATGAACAAGGAAGACAAAGAACAAAGTAGAGGAGTAGAGACATACTGTATGTGGAGAATAAGGGTGAACAACATTGTACAAATTCAATAAAAATGTGTTTTGTACAATACTGTAGGTGCTGTGTGTTGTGTTCATCTGCTTAATTCTCTGTTTCAAAAGTACTGAATTTTGTTTGTTTAAAGAAAATGTTTATTTATATTTAGATTGAACATAAATGAAAACATATATAATGTAGCAAAATGGTTTTGTATAGTTTAGTTTCTATGTATGTGTGTATCACATTTACAAAACAAATATATATAATACACACACATATATAATGTCAAACTTATATTTTTCATGTGATTAATCTGCCCAGCACTAATACAGTAAACCTACAGATCCTGGAGTCTGACCTTTAAGATTTATATTGCAATTCAGATTTTTTTGTTTAGAATTGTTAAAGTCGAATAATTCAGATAATTGCTATCTTTCCGAGGCAGAAACAAGCTTCCATAGAAACCACTTTATCTCATCACATCTTTAAATGATGAAAATCCATTAATAATCTATTAAATTTTACTTCTATCTAATTCTAACTTAATGAAATCTTAGTTTACTTTAACCATCAAGACTAAAGACTTTTAGTGCAGGTCTCTTGTCGCTACGTTTTTTATTACCCTACAGTTGCACAAACTGAAATTATGAATTGAAAATAAGTCCATTGGAAATGTTTAAGTAGCAAAAACTGCCAATCTCACACAAACATACACACACACACACACACACACACACACACACACTTCAGACTAGCAAGAGGTGGTTTTTCAGGCAATTCAAAAAAGCTATTTATCCGCTAAAGAATAGAAAAAAAGTTTTAGCTGCACTGTAAAAAATGTAATGACAAAAAGTCAAGACAACAAATATTTTGATGTTGCTTTAACATATTTTAATATAATAACATTTTTAAAGTTATAAAAAGTTTAACTCAATAATTGTAATCTATTTGATTGATGCAAGTTGAGATGACTAGAAAAGTTAATTTGACTCAACTGAACCATATAAGGCAGTAGGAATAGTTTTAGTGTAGACTTGAGACCACCCGAGAAATCAATGACAAAACTGTGAAATGTGTTAAAAGCGGATTACTTCAAATTAATTTATTATATATTATTTCAGTCAATATCTGTCAGTTTTTGGGTTTGAGTTTTACAACAACCTCTGGTGGTTCATTAATTGTGCTTCTTTGTCTACAGCTACATCAATTTCTAATTGATTATTTATTTAAGAAACATTTTGTCACTTAGATTTTTTATTTATTTTATGTCAATTGCACATTTGCAATCATTTGACTCTAAAAGGAAACATTTCTGACAAAACTGTAAAAATGTTGTAGAACAAAACACACATACACAAAATTTATAAATAAGTGACAGTACAAAACAGCACAATGTTGCAGCAGATAAAAAAGTAATATCGTTATTAATATTATTATTATTTTTAATTCTTTAAAGTATAAACAAGCAGAGGGTTGAAGCCAAAAACACAAAAATAAAATGAATTAATAAAAACAAAAGAACAAAAAAATGCAAAGAGTGATATTGCAGTGCAAAAAATGTGCACAGAAACTCATAAAATAAAATGCTCAATAAAATAAAAGACTAATGTTGTAGATTAAACACAATAAAGTAAATAAAATAATAAAAAACACTTTTAAAAAATAATTTAAAAAACTAATAAAATTAGAAAATAATGAAATGTTTGGTTTATTTAATACGGTGCACACACAAAAACTGCAAGAGCAATGTAGCAATACATGGCATGCAAAGCTGTCTTTCTTTGACATTTAAAGTGTAGCATGAGGGTGTGAGGTGAATGTTTGCATGTGTGTGGAGAAAAAAGTAGGTGGAAAGTCAGGAAATTAAAAAGCTGTGCTTCAAAAATCCTCATAACCATAATATCCTCAAACACACAACTAAACTCCAAAACAACATTGAAAGTTTACACTTTTACCAACAAGCACATGCATAAAATGTAGATCACTTTAACAAGCCATGACCCCCAGATCAGCCACACTGACTTACTGACTTACTGTCTCGTATGGTGTCGAAGGTCCACTGATCATTCTTGAAGAAGGGGTGACATTTTATTTCATTCACTCCAGTTCGGCCAAGCCTCACCTCCCTGAACATAGCAAAACACTGGTCAGCAAAACAGACAGAGAAGCGCTAATCCGTTAAATGACCATCCACCAGGTACATCCAACAGCACAGCATGGAGGAGTGGAGCAGTCAGAGAGACATCCAAAAATAAGGACCGTTCACTCCCCCTTCCTTTCACTTCATCTGCATTGAGAGGGTGCAGCAGTTTGGACTGCCACGTGTGGGACATTCCAGCAGCCTGAATGCAAAGGGAGTGTGTGTGTGTGTGTGTGTGTGTGTGTGTGTGTGTGTGTGTGTTTACATGAAAAAAACAGGAAAAACATTAAGCCCCTCTCTGTATGTTTGATCAGGAATGCTTGTATGTGGGCATGTGAGGGAGGAGAAAGAGGGAAGGAGAAAAGAGGAATTCAGATGGAAGATGTCAGGCTGGAGGGTGAACGTCCATGAAGATGACATGTAGTAAAAGCAGTAGGACATGAAATTTATGTTTTATTAGGGACTTTATCTATAAAGAGCTTTTAAAGGCATAACATGAATAAAGATCAGCTTGTATGTTGTCTTAATCTAATTTAATTCAATTAAAATGTTGCTATGGCTTAGTAAGTTTTTTGGCGATCTGGTGCTTAAGAAATATTTATTGGGATTATTATTATTATTAAGAATTATATGTATATTTTTATAATTTTTCTAAAACCATTAAAGAAAAAAAATCTTATTGACCATAAACCTTAAAAAATAGGGAACATTTCATATAATAACACTGATAAAACGTTTTTTTTCACTGATAAAACTATTTATTTATGTTTTAGGTATCTGTAGTAATCAGGCTAAGATTATATTGAAATTGTTGTATTTTGTCAAATATACACATTATTTACTAATTCAATCAATCAGAACACTACACAGTGTAAACAACAACAACACTGGGTTGTACAAAACTGTGGGTCAATTATACAGGGCGGCAAAATTATGAGCAAAAAATCATTGAATATCTTAATGGTTTAATAAAGATTATTTATTTTTTATAGCCAACATTTGTGTTTGGGGAAATGGATCATCATATTCTGGCTACAGAGGCAAAATATGTTTTTCCATCACATTAGCTGAGAATAAACTGAGCAAAAACTGCACATTTTTCTCACTGAAGCTGCTAAATTAATCTCCTTTATTTCTGTGCCTTGTAATTTATGGCAAGAAAACTTTACTGTTTTCAGCGATAACAAATCTTAGGTGCTCTGTATTTACATTATATATGTTATAAACTACAAAAGAAATCAAAATGTGTAAATAATTGTCCAGAAAATTTACTTTTTTTTTACAGTAAAGCTAATTTCAAATTGAAAAAATAATAAATTAATTTCACTACCAGCCAACCTCTAAAAACAAACAAGTAAGGGTTAATTACGCTAGTAAGTGTCTAGTAAAAGCAGTAGGACATGAAAGTTTTATGAAAGACTTATTTTATGAAGAGCTTTTAAAAGCACAAAATTAATATAGACTTGTATGTTCTCCTTAAATTAAATGTAAAAATATATGATTTGGTGTTTAAGAAATATTCCTTAAGATTGCCATTTTGGAAAAAAGTGCAACGATTTTCTAAAACCATTAAGCAAAAAAAAAAAAATCCTACTGACCACAAACATTTACAAAATAGGGAAAATTACATATGATAACAATGATAACAGATCTAAGGTACCCTGTGATTACATTAAATACGTTATAAACAGTTAGACAGCCACTCTCACTAGCCACTTTGGCTGTGATAAATGTATTTACAGTATATGAGAATATTGTTTTTAAGTATCAACTGTGAATAAAAAGTGTATGCATATAGCTTTATTTTGTTTGCTTTACACATTTTTTTAAATGTGTTTCAAAGAAATAATTAGTTCGGTGCAGCCAGAGAAAAACTTAGCAAATCCTTAGTGTCGAGCCCTAAAAACTCATGTGAAATAAACTATTAATAAAAATAAAATTAAATTAATTACATTGCGACACTATAAAAATTACATCCCATGTACTCATGCTCATTGAGCAAGGTCATAAACAACACTCAAAAATGTTGATTGAACAAGGAGGCATGTGGACACAAAGTATAAATCAATAAAGTTAGCATGTCAAATTCAAATTTATGAATATAAAATATATTTTTCCAACATTAAAATTGTGGTTAGAGAAAATGGCGAGTGGTTAGTAATGTTGGAAAACTCCTAGCCACTGTGGCTGGTGATCAAAAAAGCTAATGTCAAACCCAGGTTATAAACTCCAATTACAAAAGAAATCTCATCATGTGTGTAATAAATTGTCCTGAAAATTTGCTTTTTTTTTTTTTTACAGTAAAGTTAATTTCAAATTGACAAAAATACTGTACATGTTACCAGCCAACCTCTAAAAACAAACAAGTAAGGGTATATTAAGAGACTAAGAGTCTGAACTTTACAAGAAAAAAAAAAAAACCCTCAAATCAAATCTTTACTTTTCTCAGTCTCATCTGCTACTCAGAAAGGCACAGATGAGGTCTTTGGCATCCTTTGACATTTCAATATCATCTGGGAAAGTTAAGCTGTTCTTGTGATCCATGATCTTTCCATATGTGCCCACCAGAGACTCGGAATAAAATGGAGTGTCGCCTGCTCAGAGTGACAGACGAATAAATAAATTTAATGATCAGAACACTGAACTAAAATTACAAGAGATGCATATGAAGCTGACACTACTCACCCACTAGAAGCTCATAAATGAAAACACCAACAGACCACCAGTCACACTCGCGACCGTAATAACCAGTCCCTCCTTGAGACATTAAAACCTCTGGAGAAATGTAATCAGGTGTCCCAACAGCAGCGTCACAGCTTACCAAACCAGTCTAAACACACATGTAGAGACATGGATATAAACATTACTGGATGAGTTAATGTAGCTGAAATACAAGTATGTTTAAAATTTCAATTATTTACACAATTCATTTTCATTCAATTCAAGGACTGCACTGTACAATCTAGCCACAAGATGGCAGCACTGACATCTATCATCACCGAATGGAGGATTTCTGTAACGTACGTTAATGATTGTTTAAACAAATATGCTGATTAGGGTTGTAACGGTATGAATTTTTTACGGTATGATAATCGTCTAAAACAATACCACGGTTTGACGGTTTCGCGGTATACGGTATGTTACAAATGTTACAAAATAATAGAACAGTGAAGCAAATTTGACTTTTTCCAAATGATATATTTTCAGTTACTATAAACAACACCACTTATAATGAACAAATAAAAAAATAAGAAAATAATAAATAATGTGTCAAAGTCCAAATAAAGTCCAAATAAACATGGTGCAAATCCTCAGTAAAAAAATAGATATAAATATTTACTATACTATAAATAGTTACATAACGAAACTAGATTCAATATGGAACATCCTTAGGTTTTATGTGCCAGCATGGATATGGTTGTCTGTGGATATGGATTTGGATATGGTTGTCTGCAATAACCCTAACCCAGACAAACAGCTGCACCTTCATTGCGTCTTTTGAAAACAGCAAGAGCAGCAGTTCGTCTTTGCTGTGTCACTGTTTTGTCATGTTTCTGTGCTGCTGTGCATGCAAAAGTACTTAGTATGAGAATTATTTCATGCAAAACTTTTTTTTTTGCGTTTTATTTAGCCGCGCATAAATGTATGCCTATCTCTCATTCTGTGTTGTTCAAAAAGCTCGTTTTTGGTCCACAAACAAAAGCGAAACCTATGCTTATTGGTTGTGATATAGCGAGTTTGAACCAATCTGGGCATGGAGGAGGGACAATGCATCAATGTATCGTGTCTGGTTTGTCCGGAGACACAGTGACGAGCGTTTCTTTGTTAAATCAGCGTTGTCAAATTTTGATGACGTAACCGCACTGATTCCGGAGCCGCGAATGTTATGTGATACAGCACTGGAAAGCTGAGATTCTCTTCTTTATGCCAATCTTTGAATTGTATGAATCGGATCAGCGGTTAAAACCGTCGATATGCAATTGTTCATGGTATGATAATCGTGCACGTTCAAATCGTGGTAGACCGTCATACCGGTATATTGTTACAACCCTAATGCTGATATGTGTGAGGTGATAATTGTAAATCTCCACACTACAAAATCTAAAAGAAACTCTCTCATTCTCTGTCATGTACAGTACATGTAAACACACCAACTGCTGGTGTATGATATTTATCGTTTTCAATAAAAATGTAATTGTATTGTGAGCTGGCATTGCAGAGAGCTTCATTCAATTGAGAAAAACAAACAAAATTTAAAATGTGTAGGATTTTGTGAAATAATACAAGTGTAACGTCTCCGGTCCTTCAACTCTTCTTCCTCTGCGTTGTGTGCAATGCTCTTTAATGAAGGCCCGGACACAGTATTTGATTACTCCTTTTTACAGATATACTGAAAAAATAAACAGTACAGCCCTTTTTAGTGGATTGCTTGCTGCAGACATACAACATCCACAGCATGGCTGTCTCACAGCATCTGCTTATCACATCACCAATATCCACATACGAACTGACAATCACATGAACATAGCATAAAACGTAACATTCACAATTAACAAATAAACATTGACATACCTGAAAAAATAAACAGTACAGCCCTTTTTAGTGGATTGCTTGCTGCAGACATACAGCATCTAAATAAAATAGAAAATCAAATCAACCGCATGGCCTTGCTAAAGAGCACAATCCAGTAGACATTTATAAAAAGCCATTTAACTTACAAAAACTACATGTCACAAGTCAAACTTAATGCTTAATGATAATATAACCGAATTATAAACTAAATGTTTGAAATCGCAACTTTCTTAAGCTAATATTAATAAACTGTGACGGAGCATGAAAAACACCTACTGCACCCACAGCATGGCTGTCTCACAGCATCTGCTGCGCTAGGTCACTTCCTGCCTAACTTGTATCTGCGGTACCCAAACAAACCACATGAGGGCGCCCTTACTCTATAAAACACATAACTGCTGCATAATTCTATGGAAGTTTTTTCCTAGCAAAATGAAAATGAAAATTCAAATGCTTAAAAGATCAAATGATAATAATTCAGGAGGATTCACAATGAAAAATATAACTTCGTTACACAAGCAAGTTAACACAAGTAGGCTTTGCTGAATATCCATTAAAACACAATAAAGCGAGTTCTGTTCAACAGATCAACAGAAAATACCAAAAAAAGGTGAAGCAGAAAATGTGCATCTTAGTGCAAGAGTTTGTGCGTGCGTGTGTGTGTGTGTGTTTTGAACTTCAATCTGTTTTAAATAAATCATTGAATCAATCAATTCAATTTTGAATCAATTGTTTGAATAAATGTTTATTGAATCACTTATAAAAACAGAATAAATTCAAAATCCCACACCCTTGTATACAGTTTATGAAAAACAGCATGTGACCTTGTACATCCGAATTAGTAGTAGAAATTAAGACACAAGGGGCAACACTGTGGCTCAGTGGTTAGCACTGTCGCCTCACAGTAACAAGGTCGCTGGTTCGAGCCCGGCTGTGCCAGTTGGAATTTTTCTGTGGAGTTTGCTTGTTCTCCCCATGTCCAAACACATGCATTACAGGTGAATTGAATAAATTAAATTGGCCATAGTGGCCATAGTGTATGTTTGAAGGAGTGTGTATAAGTTTTTCCCAGTAGTGGGTTGCAGTTGGAAGGGCATCCGCTGTGTAAATCATATGCTGGATAAGTTGGCAGTTCATTCCGCTGTGGCGACCCCTGACTAATAAAGGGACTAAGCCAAAGGAAAATGATTGAATTGAATCAGGAGGCAAAAAGTACCAGAATTATCAATTACTGAAGTGTGGAATTAATACATTTACTATCCTATGAGGCCTGATGACGACAGGTCAACATGACAGTGACAACAACGTCAATGCAGTAGCCTGAATTTCATTCTCACTTCCTCTATTCTATTTTAATATTGTCAAGACACAACTTAGAACTAAAATGAAGTACCGATTTAGATAGTAGCCTACTATTTTTGACATGGAGAAAGAGACTTGCTGTCACCTACAGTAGTGGTGTCACCTAGTGGTCATATCTGTTAATCCATGTCAGGCCTAAACTAGCCAAGGTATCAGCACAAAAGCACACTAAGCAAAATATTATTCAATTAGATTATTAAAAAAAAAAGGAGAGAAACATTTTTGTTAGAATCAAACCCCCTTAAAAGACACTTCAAATGCACTTATCACACACCGAGTCCATCTTCGTACATGTGCCAAAGTCTGCGAGTTTGAGGTGTCCATTGCGGTCCAGCAGCATGTTGTCTGGTTTGATGTCTCTGTGGATGAAGCCCAGAGAATGGATGGCGTCGAGTGCCAGCACCACTTCTGCTGTATAGAATTGAGCCCATTCCTCTGGGATGTCATAGTTGCTGGTCCGAGTCACCAGATCTCCACCTGGCATGAACTCCATCACCAAATAAAGGTACTTTTCATCTTGGAATGCACAGCACAGCTATGTGGACAGAGAGATAGAGTGGTGAACAGAGAAGTCACAATATATTTCAGTAATCAATACCAGTGAAATTTAACAATACTTAATTTTAGTTGCAGCAACCCAGCTAAATTAAATAATAAGCAATGTGATATTGAACACAGACTTTATTTAATCGTTTAAATATTTATTTCATAATTTAAATACTGTTATTAAAAAACTTTTAATGCTATCAATTACAGAATGTAAATAATAAAGATAAAATATAAAAAAATTATAAATGGAATATTAAATGACATTTTAAGTATGAACATATACATACACAAAAACAGTTGTGTCAAGCAATTAATCAAACCCAAAATTAAAATTTGTATCTTCATAACATGTACATCATTATTTATATTTATTTATAATTTGATGTAGATATAAATATTTCATATAAAGATATAAATGAACATTTTCTCAAATATATACATTTCTTTGTGTACGTATATACTGTACGCTAAATGATAAATATATACACTCCACACAAAATATATTATGTAAATACAAACTTAATTTTTTATGTGATTAAGCATTTGACAGCACTAATAAAATACAACTAGCAACAAGTTATTGCCATTTAAATTATGTTATACTTAAAATCAAGTTTAACTTTCTTTATTTTGGTTAGTTAACATCAACATTACAGCAGCAAAAATATTAGGCTTCAAGGTCTAATGAACTGGTCTGTATTTTTTGTCGTCCTTATTTACACGAGTACATAACTGACTGACTACAACATGGGCTGGTGCATCCTGTGAAATACAAGTGTTGAAAAACAGCCAGTCAAGAATATTTTCTCAGTCAGGTTTACATTTTACTATTTATACTATTTTATACTATTTAAGTGAAGTACTAGTAGTTTAAGTCATTTAACATTATTATTTTTTAATCTTTTACCGGCCCATGCCTAATCCCAAACCAGGGTTTTTTTTAAAGTACAAATTATTGTTCCAAGGCTGCGTTTAATGGGTAGTACTGTGTATATTTTGCCAAATTAAATGTCAAAGGAAAATTTCACATTAAGCTCTATTTTAGGATCACAGTGCAACCCCAAAAATAAATTAATTTTGTTCAAAAATAGGTCATAGGTTTAAAATAATCCAATTTTTCAACAGGGTGTGTCTTTACAGTAAATTACATTGACCAGAGTTTAGAGTCCTCTGCTGACCAAAATCAGACATTCTTTAAATTTATTTTCATTTACAACGTTAATACTGTCACCATCCTCCAAACTTGATTTGATCACTTATTTCACATTTAGTTACCTAAACTAGCATTTTATAATACTATAGCTTATACAATACCCATAATGAGTACAACCTGACAGATTTCTCAGAAAATACCTTGCTTTTAAATAATTTAGTTTCCTATAGAATACAATATTTGTGGAAATCTGGCTTACTCCAATGATGCAGAGATCAGTACAACATGCTAATCGAAACTATTCCAACAAAATGATTTAGCTGAATTTGTTGTAAATATAAACAATAAATGTTTTCTCTAATTTGAATTTAAATTATATAATTCTAATATTTTTTCTCATTTTTTATTTACATGTTTAAGCTTTTTTAACTTGCTATATTGTAGAAACTGATCTAATATTTGCCCCAGGTTTCACTAACAAAGCTTTAGGCTTGTCCAAGACAGGAGTCAGTTCCTCCAGCTGGTTATTTTTGAAGTCAAAACTCTGGAGATTGCCGAGTCTTTGTAGAAAGGCCACAGGTAACAGGGTGAACCTGTTAGATGCCAAGTCCAGCCGCTGAAGAGAGCTGTTTATGGGCAGACAGTCTGCGTGGAGCTCAGAGAGCAGGTTATCCGCCAGAGTGAGCTCCACAAGAGGAGAATTACCAAACACTCGCCAATGTAAAGCCTTCAGTTTGTTACCTACAGACGAAAAACCCAAGCGTACCGACAAATTAGTGTTGATAAGCGTTACGCATAATATTATAAATAAACAAGGTTATTAAAGGTTATGAATCTTTTTTCGGCTAACTATTGCCATTTACAGTTTTTCCTAAAAAAAAAAGCAATAGACAGACAGACAGACAGACAGACAGATAGACAGACAGAGAGACAGACAGACAGACAGACAGACAGACAGACAGAGAGAGAGACAGACAGACAGACAGACAGACAGACAGACAGACAGACAGACAGACAGACAGACAGACAGACAGACAGATAGATAGATAGATAGATAGATAGATAGATAGATAGATAGATAGATAGATAGATAGATAGATAGATAGATAGATAGATAGATAGATAGATGCCAATTTCATTTAGTACAAAAATAAGATTGTACTTAAAATGTACTTTATTTTATTTAAGTTTATATTTTTTGCAGTCAATTACACTTTTTCCCCTTCCTTGCATTGGTGTTACATAAAGGGACAGTTCACAAAAAAGGAAAATTAACTCACCCTTAAATGCTTTCAAATCTTTAAAAGTAAAGAAGATATTTTAAACAAAGGTGAAAACCTGTAATATTGTCTTCCATAGTTGCAAATAAAAATACTGTGGAAGTCAATTGGGTCAGGTTTCCAGCTTTCTTCAAAATATCTTCTTTTGTTTTTAGAAGAAGGCAAAACAGGTTAGGAACGTGATGGGTGATTAAATGACGATTCACTTTTTGGTGAACTGTCCCTTTCATTAAACATTTAGAAATGTTCAAATGGTGTGACTAGCATTTAATCAGTAAAACGTGTTTGTGTCTTATGCTAGTAGTTATCTTTTGCATGAATTAGTGTTTATTCCTTAGGTAGGCTGGTACCTTTTTAATATTTACTAGCAATTATTTGTTAGATAACTGGTTCTTTTTCGAAATAATATTAGACACTTGTTGACATTTATTTGAAGAGTGACTGTTACTAGTAACCGATTTTAAGTATTTGCCAGACTAATATGAGTTGGGTCTAAAAGATGATTTTTATATATTAATAGGCCTTGCTGATCATTAGATACTATAACATCCCTTATTCTACTGAATGTGTAGTGAGTAACCATAGTTTTGTAAGACACATATTACCTGTAAGGTCAAGCATATACTGTAAAGATTAGACAGGCCCACGAGCAGATCCGCAGGTGTTGTTTGCAGTTGGTTTCTGGTCAGACTGAGATGCCTCAGATGGGAGAAGATCTTCAGGTCATCAGATGATATGGAGCTCAAATTGCTGAAACGAACACGAAGGTCTGTGGTGTTTCCTGAAAAAACTTTACTGGGTAGCTGTTTAAAGTTAACATGAAGACAAATGACTCTGACCTCATCATTTTCAAGGACTTGTCCGCATTTTCCTTGATGTAAAACGCCACTCTGTATCTGAGAAAAAAGGCTGAGCAGAACTGAGTTAGAAAATAATATTTGCTCATATCTATGAGCAAGTTGCAACAGAAGTAAAAATGTAAGGATTCTAGTTAAAACCTCAATCACCTAATGCCTCAGCCTTACTGTATATTAAGCATGTGTAACTGATCCTGCTTTTATAAATCACATTTGTCAATTTGCAAACAAGGGTTTTCCAGGTCCACATGTGCATCAAAGTTTTGTGTAACACTGGACTTTTATCAATCAATTCTTGTAAATCATTCACAACAAATCACAAGATGTGTTTTTAACCATGACAAATGAAAATAATATCAGTATACGTTACATTTTAGATTTAGAATTGCATTTTTATTGCCCCCTCTAAAAACATCACAATAATAAAGCTTCATTTTATTAAGTAATCACGATTATACAGAGACCTAGAAGGGACGTGATGGTGGGGAAAAATGGGTGGGTAAAAAAAAGGACAGTGATAGGAAAATATTTTTTGAAAAGTTTTTTCCTCGCAAAGGTATTGTGCGTTCCCTCGCAAAACTGTTGTTCCACTAACACTTTCTGTTATTGATTAAAGTTACCATAGTTATTAAGTAAAGAGCAAATGAATCTCTCATTTTGTTTTGATTTTTAACAGTGGTGTCACTGTAAGAATGCACAAATCTATAATGAAAGCATTCCATTACTTTAGTAACTGTTTGAGCTCATTTAAGAGAAAATTAGTTGTGTTTACAATAAAACACGCAGGACAGACATGTTTACATATTATTAAGTGTATTTGTCTGTTTAAACACACACCAAAAATTCTTCCACGTTCCTTCCAGGTCTCAATATGATTATGCTAAATTAATTCAGCCTTACTCTGCAAACTTTTCACATTTCACATGCTCAGCAATGGACAGTTTTTTATTCTGGAATATTAAACATGCTTGCATTTCTATTGAAATATTTAAGGTGTGTTTGGATCATCACAGAGTCAGAAGTGTTCCATCAAATAAAGCTTTTTTTATTAACAATTTCACAAAATGATAAAATAAAGAAAATGTTTGGACCGTAGGTCTTCATGTTCCACTATGCATACAATTTTGTCACAGCATTTAATAAAATGTGCATCTTTGCATCATGATATCAGTCTTCAATAATACATAGAGCAGACGTAATGCTTATTGAAGGTGTTCTTCAAAATAACAGATGACAAAAATATAATCTGTGCCACTAAATATTTGTTTTTCTGAACAAAAATAGATATAATACTTGATTATATAAATCCTGATGATCTCGTAATTATCATTCATTTGCTCTTAGAAACACACTTAAACATCCAGTCACACTTACTAACAACCCTATAAGGAGTCCGAAAATAACCTCTGACATTTTTAAAAGCTTAGAAGACACTTTTTGACAAACTGTATAGTATAGGAAGACACAAACACTCTACCCTTAAAATGACTTAAAATTGAAACTAGATACTTTAGGTGATTTATGGCTTGTGCTGTATTTAAATATCATATACCGTCCCCTTCCCCAGTCATTTATATTGTGGTGTTTGGCACTTGGAAGTCCTGCCATTAGCCCAAATGAACACTATGACATTTTCCGCTTTCATAGACCCCAGATGCATGATCACCTATCCGGCCTTCACCAAGGTTAGCTGAAATTAAGAGAGAGGAGATGGAGGTCATTTAGTACCATAAAAAACGTTCATACATAAAATGCTGGCAGACATGTCAAATCCCATTCTCTATACAGCCAAACCAGCTAAACCAAACCATTCTGCCTTTTATACACGCATACAAACATGCCCACTCGTATACTGTAAGTGCATCAAACCTGCTGGCAAA